ATCATAAGTCTTATTGTTTGCTAGATTGCTACATTTATTGGTGTCACCTGGAATGGTATGTACAATTGAATAGGAATGAGTGCCTTGGTGATTGAGTATTGCTATGTCATCTGCCTTGAGAATGTACAGACCTAGCTCTTCCTTACCAATCCCCAACACCTTCCCACTTGAGAGTTCCTGAAAAATACAGAAATCAGGGTAAAATGCTGCTAGACATTGCAACTCCTTTGTGAGTTTGGACACTGAGATGAGATTATATTTAAACTCTAGAATGTGGAGAATGTTCTGAACTTTTTTATCCTTGAAAAAAGAACAAATACTAGTATGAGTAATAGACACATGTTCTCTAGTTGGTAAATGGACTTTACTCCTAACATTTTCTGGTATTTCATCATACTTCTCCAGCAGGTGCAAACTATGAACCATATGGTTTGTTGCTCCTGTGTCTATAATCCAGTTACTATGCATCAAGCTTGTCATACATGCATGTATACTACTTGTTGTCCCTGCAGTGACAACATTGGCAACAAGTTCAGCCTCCTTGTCCTTGTTCAGCAAATGCAGAATCTGCTGGTACTGTTCCTAGTAAAGAAGTAAGCTGGAGAAGTTGGTGTCTGATGTCCTTGACCTTGTGACTCTGAAGTTAGAATACCAGAACTTGTCACACTATTAGCCTGAGCATTTTGTGCCCCTCATTTTCTCTTAGTTTTGAAGTCAGAAGGATAACCATGAAGCTTAAAACAGTTCTCTCTAGTGTGACCCTTATATTTGCAGTAATCACACCAAACTGCCCCTTTACCAAATGAGTTTCTAGGTCTATAACCTCCATTAGAATTAGTATTAGTCTGTCCTCCACCATTGTAACCTCATGTATAACCTCCATTACAGTTACTGTTAGTCTGTCCTCCACTATTGTAACCTCCAGTATACACCTTATTGCCCATCATAGCAGCTTCATTACTCTCAACATATACAGCTTTTCCATTAATTCTCTAACTCTCCACATTAACTATCATAGCATAAGCTTGGTTCAGATTAGGCAAGGGTCGAGTCATGAGGACCCGATTCTTTGCATTCTCATAGGATTTATTTAGCCCTGTGAGGAATTGATACAATTTCTGTATCTGATAGTATTCTACATGTTTCCTTGATTCAGCACAACCACAAGTAGGTGGTGGAGTTAAAGTTTCATACTCGTCCCAAACTCTCTCAGTTTAGTGTAATACACAGACACGGAGGATATGCCTTGAGTTAATGAGGCAATTTTCTTGTGCAAATAGCAAGCCCTAGATGCATTATCTTTATCAAATCTTTCCTTAAGATCCTCTCGCACTGTGTATGCATCGGAAACATAGATCACTGAACTAATTAAACTTGGTGAAACTGTGTTCATTATCCAAGCAAGTACAATAGCATTGCATCTATCTCACAGTTCATGCAAACTAGTATCATATCTGTTTTTTCTACAAGTGCCTAGGACAAAGCCTAATTTATTTTTACCATGCAATACGATTTTCATAGATCTACTCCAAATAGAATAGTTTTCTAAACCTTGAAGCTAAATAGAGATGATAACAGAACCTTAAGTATTGGAAGGATGAATGTAGAGAAAATGATTGTGGTCGATAAGTTCTGTAGACATTGAAGCAGCAACATGAGAACCAACTACCTCTTCATTGATCGACATTCTCACAGTAGCAAATGCTTTACCAGATATCTTCACAATTTAATCAAATGTACACAAATTTAAACACGATCTGGCTGCGATTCAACCAAAAAATAAAAAAATTCCCAAACCCTAGGTTGAATAGAGAGATTTCTGTGTTGAAAAATAGCTCGATCAAATCGATGAAAGGTTGATGCTTCGATACAGTTGGATTATTCAAGTTCTCTCACAGCTGAGCTTAAGGAGATCGAGCACCGGGCTCTGATACTATGTTAAGGAGCTTCAGCCGTGGCAAAACTTGAAGATTCTAGAAGAAGAATAAATGACAGAAAGGCAATCTTTGTTATTAGCTAACGAAGAAGAGGAATGAATAGTTGTACAACACTATCAACTAACTGCTGTATTTATACAAAATCAACTAACTAACTTTTAGTAGTTATAACTAATTACTACTAACTAATAAATAGTTGGGGCCTACTATACTCAACAGAGAGATATGGTAAATTTACCAAGAAACAAGAAATAAATGCCCTTTCAAATCATAATAGTTAAGAAATTATAACACCCCGGAAAATTCAAAGCACTTAAGTGTAAAGCCCCGTAAAATTTTGCAAAGAAAAATAATGTTTCGTGGTGCCAAATAGGTTTTACATGTTAAGGATTATAGAAATTCTTGCTCGGACTTTTTGGGTTGAATAATGCACTGAGGGATAAAGGAAAATTTTTGGCAAGAAAAATGCATTTTTGCGGTCCATTATGCGACCGCAGAATCACTCCACAGACCACATAATGGCCGCAGAAGTGAGGCAGGAGAGAGTCAGTTTGGATGCAATTCTGCGGTCGACTATGCGACTGCAGAACAGGTCCGCGGGCCACATAGTGACCGCAGACCCAGATAGATTTTTGGCCAGTTTTGGACACCAATTATGCGGCCGATATGCGGTCCGCATATCAATTATGCGATCGCAGAACCTGTTCCAGAGCCTACTACCCGACCCTACTTCGTTAAATACATGCTTTGGGCCATTTTTGAGCTAAAATATGATGTTTTAGAGATAAGGGAGTGTTTTAGAGAGAGAAGAAACCCTAGGCTAATTATTCATCAAGTCTTGCTCAAATCTTGGAAGATTAACAAGGAAAACCCACAAGGTCTTCATCTTAAAGGTAAGATTCTACACCTTAACCCCTAATTTTAAAATTATCTGAAAATGGGTAATTAGCAAGATAATTTTTGGGCATGAGAGTTGTTTATTTTACATGCATATGATATCAAGGGGTTTAGAAAGATTGTTGAACTAAGCATGGTAAAGAATGGGTTGTGGGATGAAGGAATCCTCCATAAAAGGACCTTGAAACCTTAATGCACACTTACTGTTTGATAAAATGTTCAAATGAGCTAGAACCATGATTATCTTCCTAATTTTGGTTCAATTTGTTATATTTCTACGATAGATTGAAGTTGCTAAGAATTTTGGAATATTTTAGAGTTTAAGGAAGCTCAATTGAGGTATTTTAGCTAAACCCTTCTCTTAGAATTGAATCCCACGACATTCATGTAATTTATGTAAGTCACGAGTGGTTCTTTATAAAATTGGCTATTCCGAGTAAGATTGGGTTGAAAGATATATGTTCCATAAGTATCCCAATTGCTTTATTTATATTATGTTATCAATTGAGGATGTGTTAAAAATATGGGTTGTGCACTAAAAATATTCGACTTCAAGTCAAATTTAAACGAAGGCTATTATGCCAAATTTTGTGAAGAATTTCCATGTGCCTTAGACTCTTAATTGCTCACAGGTGTACTACACACCTTGATTTGAATTGTTGTTGTTGGTAATAATGATGTTGATGTTGGAAAGTGAAAAGGTGAGCATGAAATACTAAATACGGCCAACGTGCCAATAATAATTTATAATTATGGCCATTAGTGCCAATGAAATGAAAAGAGGTGAAAGAAGTATGAAATGCTATGATTGATATAAAAAGTTGATGTCTCGAATAAGACAGCCTAGCCGATCGGGTCGTGATCGGACATCATGCCGCACACATGGTGGTGATTTGTGCTGAAAATTGTAATTGAAATGATGATTGTGGTTGATGTCCCTAATAGATAGCCTAGCCGATCATGTCGTGATCGGACTCCGTGTTAAAGATGGTGGTATTGATATTGAGAATAATTGTGGTTGATGTCTCTAATGAGATAGCCTAGCCGATCGGGTCGTGATCGGACTCCGTGGTGAGAGTACAGTGGTATTGGTATTGTGAATAATGGTATTGTGAAAAATAGTATATCGTTACTAAAAATCTCCCAACGTGAGATATGAAAATTAATTTGAACATTGCCTTGATCCTAAATTGAGGTTTGATGTTGTTTAAGGCTTCCATTGATATTATGATATTCTTGTTTGTATTATTCATTATTTTATTGAGAGGGTATTTTGTCATTCATACTAGTACTATTCCATATGTATTAACGTCCTTTTTGCCGGGGGCGCTGCATCTTCAATGGATGCAGGTGGTTCCATAGTAGGGGACACTTAACAGTGATAGCGGTACACTCTCTTTCCAGCAGACTTGGTGAGCCCCACTTCATTTCGGGGTTATGTATCTTTTGTTCCTCGTGTATTGTGTTTGAGGCATAGCCGGGGCCTTGTTGCCGACTTTATCATAGTACTCTTTTGTATCTATTAGAGGCTCCGTAGACATAGTGTGGGTTATGTATTGGTGCTGGAAAAGCCAAACTATATTATGTTGTGGTTGTATTACTTGTCCATTTGAGACTTTAAAAATGATGAAACTATTGGTAATGAATTGGTATTGTAGACATGAACACCTTTTGTCTAATTATTGAAAATATGTATTATTTTCATTCATGGATGAGTTTAGGTAGAAGGAAATCTAATAGGCTTGCTCGGCCGGGTTCACTCGGTTGAACGCCAGTCGCGCTTCCCGGTTCTGGGGCGTGACAGAAACGTTTCCTTTTGCTCATGTTTAGATTTCTCAACTAATTGGTTAGTATTGAAGGCATGTGAGGCTCTCAAGTTGTTTCAAGTATTTGTTGCTTTTGGAACCACTAGTTTTAAATTGTTTAGTGCAACTTATAGTGAACTGATAGGCAAATAAAGTATAACAACACAAAAACCATGAGAGCATTTTAATCGCAGATATCTGAAAAATACCGTAAAGAATGGTTCAATGATATCCTTGGATTAACTACTGTTTCATTTATTTAAAAATACCAAAAATCATGAGAGCCGGTTTTTTGTGTTAGTTCTACACTTCTATTGAATCCATCGTTTTCAGCTTGAACTATTTACATATACGCAAAAGAAAAAGAATAAACTATAGTTGAATTTGCCTCTTATAGTTGCTAAAATGCAGACTCAGCGACATGGCTATTTTCATGTAGACAACTTATAAAAATCCTTACTTTCAATTTCCACATCCCAAATTAAACCAAACTCTCATATTGCGACATTTCCTATAAACAGCTGATTAGAGAACTGAGCACCCTCATTATCATCCATCATGATAAATATTTTACAAATGCATTTCATAAAAAGAACCAGCATCAAAGAACTTGGTATATTATATGCAGCAACACGATAGAGCGGCCTGTGGATTATGCAGATGCAGCCAGCTTAACGCGATTCACCGATGAAGTAAATGTTGAACTTATAGTTGATAACTTGGAGATGGCTGCTTGTTTTAAACAGAAAGGACTGATTTTCTTTCCCATTTTAATCACATTGACAGATGAGCTGCAACCGGGGATCGGAGTAGTTCCTTTATAAGCCTTGCAGATGTAGCTTATGAAGTCCCTGTAGTCCTGCAACAATGAAATTTATTGTCATAGAAGGAGAATTTTCATACAATAGTTACAAATTGTAAGGGCAGCTCGGTGCACTAAGCTCCCACTATGCGCGGAGCCCGGGGAAGGGCCGGACCACAAGGGTCTATGGTACGCAGCCTTACCCTGCATTTCTATAAGAGGCTGTTTCCACGGCTCGAACCCATGACCTCCTGGTCACATTGCAGCAACTTTACCAAAAATAGAGAAGACTTTTGAGGAACTATTGAGAGCAAAAGGCAATTTTAGAGTTAAAGAGCTCTAAATCAACCCCGAGGCTGAAGTCTGCTCCTTCTTAAAGTGAATTTACTGGCAACTTTCTTATTAGTTTTCCAGGGAAATGCCGGGGCCGGGAGCCGGGGGAGGAGGTTGTTGTCAGTGTGCATGCGGGAAAGAACTCAAAAACATATTTTGACAAACTGCCAGAACGAATGGGAATATAACACTAGAGAATGCAAAGTGCAAGTTCAGAAAATATAGAGCAAAAAGAAACTGACATCATAAAGTGGTTGGCCATCAACAACAACCCATGGTACATATTTATGAGGAGGTTGAAGGGCATTTGTCTCAGCCGCATAGCGTAATTCGAGCTGCACATAAGATCAAGTAACATTAATTCACACAACATAAGATATTACTATACGAAATGAAATATCAGACCAAATAAAATTTGTTCCATCAAAGTTGTTTACAAATCAAGTTCGCTTCAACCTCCAAATCGAACAGAAAGGTACTTCCTTCTGTTTATTTGTTCCTAACGCTCCATTACTGAGTAGAGATACCTTAATCAACTTACAGAAAACCGAAAGCCTGAGGATGCAAAACTGTACAAAGACTTGACTCTTAAGAAAAACACAACAAGTCAACAAAATCCAAGAGTTGCATCATATCATTTACATAGTTACATCTAAAAACTTATCCAAATGATTCGCAAAGTGCTGGCTTAGCATCCAAATATCTTTGCATGAAGAAAATAGGAAGGAAGCATATACAAGAGGGTGGAGCAAAGTGAAGGTTCAGAAACTTCTAGAGAACAAACAATAATAACACTGATAAAGAAAGCAACACGTTAACTAAATAAAGTTGTTGTCGACTCTCTCTATTAAGCTAACAAGCGTCGTCTGTGTGATAGGCATGGTTAGACGGGGGAGACCTTTCAAACAACTGCTCGTTACAGTGAGTGCTAGGTTATTGCTGAAACCCTTGGACAGGGAAATGAACACCGAGTATTTACTCCAATTGCAACCCAAATTCAGTCACTGAGCTTGGGATTTGCAAGTGGTACTGCTAAGAAGCTAGAACTGAGTGCAAACGTACAATCTAAAGGTGAATTAGCTGCGAGTTCTGATACACAAAGCTACGCAAAGGTTACAGCAACGAAACATAGCCAAAGTGAAGAACAACCTAAGGTGCCAATTGAACAACCTAAGATGCCAATTGAAGACAAATTGCCAGATTAATTTGTTTCCGATAAGCATAAAAATATAATGAGTTCAATGCTATGGTGACTGAACTTTGTCCTCTAAAGAAATTTCTGAAGTAGTTGTACCACTTAATACTTAGCATTTTTCTCTTGAACTTCTTCACTAATTTGATTCAACCCCCAACTTTATGTTACTCTCATGCGTCATAAGAATAGGGTTACAATAACAAATTCAAAACAAGCTGCCACATCTCCTAGTCCTAGCCCAAAGAATTCGTTACCTAAATTTTATGTCATTAACCGGCCACTTAGATCAGATTTTGACAAAACAACAGGAGCAGATAAGACCTCAACAATGAACTTTAGGGCAGAGAAGCCAATAATCCTTTTAAGAAATGAACATGTTGATTGAAGAAATTTTTCTTTTTTCATATGAAATGCTCGAAAAAAAGAAAGAGAAACACAGGATTAGCGTTAAATCAACCAAGAGAACTAACCTCTTTCCCTCGCCCACTGCCGACACAATCTTTAACAAGCTTTGCCTTCAAATTCAGTTTTTCAAAACATGTTTCCCACTGGGTATAATTCTTATGGTAGACCAAACTTTCCACACAGTAAATGAAAGGAAAATGTTCATTCTGCATCAAATATCCAATGAAAATGAAATTATGATTTAGAAGTAAACATATATCTTCAATCAAACTGTGATGTTTTTAAGCTTGATTAACTTTGTCCACTACAACAGTAAGGTCATTAAAACTACTTTTTCGCGTTAAAGTAACTACTGGAAAATCATTTTATGAAAACTGAACTATGTGTGAATTACTCAGAAAATACAAAATGACCAGAAAGTACAATTTCGATTAGTAGCTTACCAAATCTGGCCAGGCATCAATTGCACAAGCCTCTAAAGTGTCCAAAAAACATTCAGCTGGACCATGCTGCAACCATCACAAAGAAAATTTCATAAATCTCTAAGTGTGCTTATACTATGCATACACACATATAAGAACCACAATATAACTTAAATTAACCAAACTATAGCCCAGAAACAGATCTAGCCCTCCTTAACGTATTCAACTGCACTCATTGTTTTTGTTCAACAGAATTTGACCAGAGGCGGATGCAGCGTTGCGGCACTGGTTTTTTCTGAAAGTAGTACTTTCGACGCAAAACATAGATTTATGTGTAAAAATATAGCAAAATTGCAACACATAGTAGATATGAACTCATAACTATAAAAATACAATGAGATCAATGCTAAAAACTTTAAATGTTGAATCCATAAAGCTTAAATCCTGAATTCGCCTTGGAGCTTGATACTATGCTTTTATATAAGTATCACAACATAACTTAAAGGGATATTTACACAATAGTTGGCCGGGTTTACTATTTATTTTTCTAGCTAGTATACATAGATTATATACTAATTATTCACAATTATACATGAATTAAACATTCGTCGGTTGTTCTTAGTTGGATTAACAACTTTTAAGGTTAATTCTTCTAACTTTAAATGGGCGAAAGAATAGCGCAAAAATAGATAGAACCATTGTTTACTTTTTCTTGACCATTATAAATATGCAAAAAAATTTTGATAAAATATATAGATATAACAAGCTACCAACTCTAACTCATAAATATAGAAACATAAAAAGCAAGAGAGAAGATTCTTGGATGACCTGGCATTTGAAGGTGTTATTGGGTTGGATCTTAGTATTGCCCCATGGAACAAGTTTAAGATCAACAACATCAATGAGTCCATTCTTGAAAATCTTAGGTAAATAATTAACAATGAAATTTGAACAACCAGGACAGAGAGTTTCGTAATACAAAGTCAAAGACACTTTCTGCTCGCAAGAAATGGGAGAAATTTGGGTGAAGCATAGAAAGAAAGCAAGGAAAATGGATACACTTCTTTGGAAAGAAGATCTCATTTTGGCTTTTGACTTTCTGGGAAGGAATTGGAGTTTAAAACTCTAATTTTAATAATTGCATGGGACTTTTTCTATTGGAATAATGTGATAATTAGCTGTCTTGTATACGAATAAAAAAAAGTCCACGTGAATTATAGTTTATCTAAAAGCTAATCCAAGATCTATTATCAATGTGATCACCCCTAACATTAATTTTGTAGCTACAAGCTAGGAAATCAAGTTGGATTCTCCAGATAATAATAATAATAAATATTCCATTTGTCCCAATGGAATATTCAGTAACAAAGTTTTTGTTACTAAATATTTATTCCTCTTTATTTATCTGCTTAATAAGTTGTTTCATCACATTATATCATGTGCAACAATTGCAATTCCTTGTAAGAGAATATCTTAAACAAATATATACTCTTGTATGTCAGAATATACTCTTCATATTGCGGAATGCAAAAAATACATGGTTTTAGTTTAGTCTTAGATTTAGGGTAGCCTCACTCCTCAGTAGATACATATGGAAAGTAGCACGAAAGATTGAGATTGAAATGTGCGCGTAAAATAAGATGACCTCATTCTAAATTCACAGAATTTGCTCTTGGATATGCCTCTATTAATATATAGGTCACGGGTTCTTGCTCTTGGATATGCCTCTATTAATATATAGGTCACGGGTTCAATCTGATGTCTGCATCAGGGTAGGCTGCCTATATTAATATATAGGTCACGAGTTCAATCTGATGTCTGCATCAGGGTAGGCTGCCTATATCATACCCCTTAGGGGTGCGGCCCTTCCCCGGACCCTGCATGAATGCAGGATGCTTCATGCACCGGGCTGCCCACAACACATGCCTCTGTTAATAAATGCAAGCTTAGAGAGACATGGCTGCTTTCATGTAGACAACTTAATAAAAATCCATACTTTCTATTCCCACATCCCAAATTAAACCAAATTCTCATATTACAACATTACCTATAAACCGCTGATTAGAGGACTGAGCACCTTCATTATAATCCATCATGATAAGTATTTTACAAATGCATTAACCAACTACAGTATTTCATCATTTAATAAAATGAACCAGCATCAAGGAGCTCTATATTATACTCAGCGCGATAGAGCAGCCTGTGGATTACGCAGACGCGGCCAGATTAACGCGGTTCATCCATGATGTAATAGCTGAACCTATAGTTGATAACTTGGAAGTGGCTGTATGCATTAAACAGAAAGGAGTAAATTTCCTTCCCATTTTAATGACATTGACAGTTGAGCTGCAACCTGGCACTGGAGCTCCTTTGTAAGCTTTGCAGATGTAGCTCATGAAGTCCATGTACTCCTGCAACGAGGAAATATATCGTCATAGAGGATAATTTTCATACAGCACCGTAACCGGTGGTTTCTGAGCTTTACATACTTCTTGATCACGGCCATCACCTACTAAACTTCCATCCTCCCCCTCCCCCTCCCCCGGGTGTAGAGGTCATTTTACGTTAGTTATAAACCATACAAAACAAAACTCAGAAAGCAGATAGATATAGAAAAGACTATTGATGAACTGTTGAGAGCAGAAGGCAATTTCAGAAGTAAAAAGCTCTGAATCAACTCAGAAGGCTGAAGTCTGCTCCTTATAGTGAATTTGCTGGCAACTTTCTTATAGTTATGAAATCTTTATCCAGGCAATGCCGGGGCGGGTGGGAGTTGGGGGAATGTGTGTGTGTGTGTGTGTGTGTGTTGTTGGTGGGCATGCGGGAAAGAAGACAAAAATATAATCTGAAAAGCTGCTAGGAAAGGACTATAGCGCTACATAATGCAAAATGCAAGTTCTGAATTGTAGAGTAAAAGGAAACTGACATCATAAAGCGGTTGGCCATCAACAACCACCCACGGCACATATTTATGAGGAGGTTGAAGGGCATTTGTCTCGGCTGCATAGCGTAGTTCGAGCTGCAAATAAGATTTAAGTAACATTAATTCACAGAACATATATAAGAATACTACAATACGAACAAAACATCATACCAAATAAAATCTGTTCCATCAAAGTTCATTACAAATCAAGTTCGCTTCCAATAAGCTCCAAAGCTAATGATTCTTTTGTTGTTGGATTTCAAGCCAAACAGATGAATGCCGAGGACTAGCTTTCAAGTTATTCTAGATAATTTCATTAATCTCAAAAACTTAAATCCTTTACGGTCTCAGCACAGCAAGAAATCTCCTATCCCAAAGAACTTGTTACCTAAATTTTATATCGTAAGCTACCTGGATAACCTAAAATACAGGAGCATATAGGAACTAACAATGAACTTCAGGACAGAGAAGCAGATAATCATTTTACGGACACAAAGAAGGCAAAAGGTACCTTAATCCCCCTTACTCAACTCTTAAGTGAAAACTTATAATGCAATGTGTGAAAGGTGTGAGGAACGACATCCATGCATTTGCTTTATGAGAAACAGAGAAATAAGAATGATTCTATAAAGAAATCTGACGATGGGAAAAAAAAGAAGATGGAGAACGGGCTCCAAATCTCTTTAAATGTTACTGTGCGTTGTCACAAAGGAACAGAAACTCATCCTGAAGAAAGTTACTTTCTTCTGTCAATCTGTTCATAATGAATAGAGAAGCCTTAATAAACTCACAAACTCGCCAAGAGTCAGAAGTCTAATATAATTGCTGACCAAAGCTGGCTTAGTCTCCAAAACTTTGTTGTATGAAATGTGGGGGAAAATAGCACACGGAAAAAATATTCATGGTGATTACAAGAATAACAATTGACACTGAGATACTTTATACAAGAATAAAAAGAGAAACAAGGGCATCAAGATTTTAACGTGGAAAGCCCCAGGGAAAATTCACGGCCTAAGAGAAGCAAATAATATCACTGTAGTAAGGGATTTTACACTTGGTAGCCTCGGTCGAAACACTCAACAAACCACTAACAATCAGAAGAAACAACAGTCTTTTGATTTATACACTTCACTATCACACCGTTCACACACACTATTTTTACTCACAGACTAATTCTCTCACGCCTTGTCTGAGACTTACTCGTTCTTGATTGGATGATCAAAATGGATGAAGCACTCTATTCCTCCAAGGAAAAATTAAACGACAGAAAAGGAAAAAAATCTCCACAGAAACTCAAACGCCTCTGCCAACTTTAACAAGAATTGGCCTCCAGCACATATGAAAAATTTGAACATGTCTATTGCCAACTTGAGAATGGAATGGACGCCACAGACCCCCTCAACCNCACAACTCAAATTTGTCTCTTGATACCACCATAGTCAGCAATAGAAGTCCTCTTGATGGAGGAGGTACCAATAGACGACTTTGAGTTGTGCAAAGAGCTTCGATCCACTCCAACTAGAAGTACGTTGTAATCTCATTCAAGTAAATAGGCCTGTATGGGGAGATTTTTCAGGTTCATCCCATTCTCAAGTAATTTTTCCTTTTCTTTTATTGTTTAATATATCCTTGGAGGCCAAGTTACTTTTGGCATATAAAATGGGTGCTTCATTCCTATTTTGATCATTCAATCCAAAAGATAACAATAACAACAACATACTCGGTGTAATTCCACAAGTGAAGAAAAATAGTTTGTGAGGCAAAACAGAGAGTGCGAGCAGTACTACAGTGAGGTGAGTAAATCAAAGGACAATTGTTTCTTTAAAGTGTACAGTGGTCTCTTGAGTATTTACTCGAGGCTACCAAGCGTAAAACTCCTTGGTATTACACTCTCTAGAAAACATATTTTAGATTTATCAGCAATTATTTGGTGCTCCACAATAATGAAAATGAATAAAATTCATGATTTTGCTATTATTCACTGTTTTTTTGTTTTTTTTGCATTTATTTTGTGTATATGCCTCATATATGGGGCGGAGTGTTGGCTTGTCATAAACTCTCATGTTCAGAAAATGAAAGTAGCTGAAATAAGGATGTTGAGATGGATGTCCGGGCATACCAAGTTAAATAAGATTAGGAATGAAGTTATTCGGGAAAAGGTGGGAGTGGCTCCCGTGGAGGATAAGATGCGGGAGGCGAGGCTGAGATGGTTCGGGCATGTGAAAAGGAGAAGCACAGATGATTCAGTTAGGATTTGCGAGAGGTTACCTCGGTGGGTATGAGGAGGGATAGAGGTAGGCCAAAGAAGTATTGGGAAAGGTGATTAGGCAGGATATGACGTAGCTGGAGCTTACCGAGTACATGACCCATGATAGGAGGATGTAGAGGCCGAGAATTAGGGTGAAAGTTTAGTAGGCAGTCGAGCGTTTCTCTTTTTCTTTCTCAGAACGGTAGCATTAAACCTATTGTTTGATTGCATTCATTCGCTTCTATTTTCTTAATATCTTGTTGTTGTTACCACTTGTTGCCACTGCTTCTTTTCATCTTGTCTTTAGCCAGGAGTCTGTCGGAAACATCTCTGCCCTCCTAGGGTAGGGGTAAGGTCTGCGTACACACAACTCTCCCCATACCTCACTTGTGGGAACTTACTGGGTTTGTTGTTGTTGTTGTATTCTGTGAATATGCCTAAATCTTTCTCCTTCCATTTCCCTTTTTCTTTTCCCTTTCAGATTCGGAGTGGGATATTATTTGCTCCTCACGGTCCGTGATTTTTTTCCTTATTGAGAAAAATTTTCCACATTAAAATATTGGTGTTCTTTTTTTTCTTTTTATTCTCGTCGATTACCGCATTCCAATGTCCGTTGTTATTCTTGTAATTTACCATTGTATTATTTCTGTGCACTATTTTTCCAACACATTGAAGGGCATATCCAAGAGAGAGAAAGAGGAGCTATATCCAAAAGGGTGGAGCTATAACTATTAAGACATAACACGTAGTAATACTTTGCTTTCTTTTCTTTCTTTTTTATTACTGTCTACTGAACCTTATATTTGTGAAGAAACACTTTAAAATTCAATTACTTCTATTTAGATAGATGCATAATGCTGCTTGTCCTCCTCTCAAAGCTAGCTAGTCGATCGGAGAAGAATCTCTTTTTCATATTCATATGCTCAGCATCTATAATTAAGCATATAGCAGAAAAAATAGAAACCAAAGTTCTTTTTTTCTTTTGCACATTA